CTTCTCCGACCCCCTGGCCCCCTTGTTGTTGGCCTTTCTTCACCTAATGTCTGGTGAACTTGCTCAGGAACGGCCAGAGCTGTTCATCCCGGCAGGCTGGCTGGCAGGGGAGGAGCAGCGGGGGAGGAGCTCCAAACTGGAGCCGATCTGTGATGCAGGGAGGGAGGGAGGGAGGGAGGAGGAGCCCTCTCTGGCTGAGTGCCGGAGCCCCAAGTAAGTGACACCGGCCGGCCGGCAGCACTGTTAGCCGTGCGTGCTCTGCATGGGGGGGAAGTCCGTTCATTTACAAATTCCCCCCGGACGCTATTTTTAGCTTAAAAAGCCGGACATGTCCGGGGGAATCCGGACGAATGGTAACCCTAGTTAACCTCCCACAGACCTAAAGAAAGGTAAAACTTGTAGGGAAACAGTTCCCGTGAATAGACTTCTAGGACTGTGCAGGAATCAGTCTTCTTAAATTGTTGTCAGGTTCAACCAAACAGACTACAGATCAGTGTCAGAGACAGGGCCGCTGAGAACAGGTTCGGGCCCCAGTGAAAATTTTTTTTTCGGGCCCCCCAGCAAGGGCAGACCGGCTAAACAGGGCCGACGAGGGGGGGGGGGAAGCTGGGCCCCGGGCCCCCTTCCGGACTGCTAGGCCCTGGTAATTTGTACCGGCTTCCCCCCTCACCCTCCCATCGGCCCTGGTCAGAGATAAAATTATAAAGTCAGATTCTGCCATCCTTAATCATACTGGGAGAAAAGTTGGTGCAAGTGAAGTCCATGGACATTTTGCCAGGATGTCATCCATTAGTAGTACCTCACTCAGTGAGTAGCCCCAATGAAATCACTTTAAACTTTATGAAATAAAAAAAACAGCACAGGGACCCACACTACTGCACATTTTGCTTCATGAAATCAATGGGTCTATTTACAAGTTGGCACTAGTCAGCATAGTTCAGAGGCCATGGTGATGTGTGCCATTCTAAAATCCTGGACAGATGGACAATAAGCCTGGGTGTCAAAATTGAGGCCCTAAGAATTAATGTAAAAGGTCCCAAACTCAACAAGTTCTACACCTTTCATTTATTTAATAAAGTATTTGGTGACCATCATTTAGGTGCCATCCAAAATTTAAAACAACTAGTGCTATGCAAGGCCTTCAGTGGGCAGACACAGAACATTCTACCCTATAACCACCCCACTATGTGCTTCCAGAAGAGCTCCATGACTGCCAGGCCCTCACTTCTAGTATTTTTAGACATGCAGTTTCAAT